GGAAGAGAAAGGGACGGACGGACGGGATAGGGGCTGACGAAAGAACGAACGATCGAACGACGGGACGGACGGACGGACGAACGAACGGACGAGCGACGGGCAGTAAAAAAATCATGTTAATATTAACATGTTTTAACATTTATTTTGGAAGAGTTATTATCGGAATGATAGTAGAAATAAAATTGATTTTGTTACACCTGAAGTTATAAACTCTGGAGATAGAAAACGGAGTATCTTCAACAATTTGTTAATAATGAAAGAGTGTAACATTGATCTGTGCCAAGAGCCAAATTACGCCAGAACAGTATACGAATTTTTTTCGAAAAAATATATTCTTTGATGGATTTGACTTAGCTTTATGTTGTCTCGTAATGCCGCAGACAGTCATTGCCCTTTATCCCTTTTCCCAGATGCTCAGGGCCGGTAGTAATCGGGATTCCTAGGCAGTCACTCGTCCAGAATCCGTCAATCACTTTAAGGAGCGTAGTTAAGCAATCTGGCTGAAGCTGCCGACATTTAGACTTTCGTTTTGGCAGTGATTTTATGTAACAAAAAATGTCAAAGTTATTGCTGAATCGGAAAACTAAATATATATTTTTAAATTGATATTTGAATGCTATTGTTTATTTGGAAGTCAATTTTAATTTTGTTATGTAGGTTTTATTTGAATAACTTCTTTAGAGGTCTCAATTACTATTTTTTTAGGCACTAGTTTATTTCAGACTCAATTTTCACAGAATATTTTAGAAATAAAATTCGTATAGACTATTACAATATTTTCATTGCACTGAAATAGTATCATGCATAGGAGACCGAAAAATGAAACTACCCCAATAATCTTTTTCCATAATCTCCTGCGAAATTTTATGTATATTTCTAACTTGACGCTTCTGCGGCAGCTGACAATTTCCCGAAAGTTTGCGAAAGAAAATAAACAGAGAACTTGAACGGGCGCTCTCTCATCGATCGCGAAGAAGAGGTACGTAGGAAAATAGGAACAACGTATCAATCACGCAACCATCTGAGAAGACAAAGGTCCGTCCAAGTGGACAGGTACAAATCACGCATTGTCACCGTTGTCGCGCCGAGACGCAGTGTGCGGATTGTTGGCATCGGCCCACTCCCGGGGGAACCCGTTGCCGGCGGGTGGCATTGTGCGCCCGCTAAATTTAGCGGCACAAGGGGCGGAGCGGGGCCAGGCCGGGCTGGGCCGGGCGTGCGGCACCGACGATCGTCGTGCCAGTCGCAGAGGGTCGCGCCGCGCGTCCTCAGCATGTCTTCCCGCGGGATGATTTTCCACAACGGAACTGATGCCGACGATGAGCCGCCACCGACTCGGATGAATTATCTGGATGATGAAGGTATGCTGCGCCTCTTGGTGAGACTCGCCATTTGAATCCCGCGCCATAAGAAACTCATTCCCGCCACCGCTTCATTCGCTGCGGCGTTCCGCCGCCTCGCTATGTGTGGCTGCACTGCACAGTTGCTGCGCTCTCGTTGGTATACCTGATTGTTTGGCGGTTAGTGTCCATGTGGCGGGTGCGGCTGGTGTTTGTGTGGTTAAAAATGGTGTTTATATATGTTTTATAAATGTAGTGTTGCGGTCCGATTGTTATGTTATTCATAGATTATCATGCATTCCAGCTGCTTATTATCATTGAGTGACAGTGCACGTTAATGTAAATTAATTGGTGAATGAATGACAGAACTTGAAAACCTGTAAGATGGATGAAGACGAAATTCGTGATTTTAATTCTTTAGACAACGAAACTTTGTCAGGATATTTGGAACAACTCTTGCGTTTTAGACACTTACTGAAATGTCTATTGAAAGACCTGGATGGCGTTACCGAGAATCAGCGTATGTTAACAATCGCAAACACATCATTGGCGGTTTCACTCAAAGAGGCTAAGAAGAACAGCTGATCACTGGTGAGTGTATGGCGCGGGGATAAAGTTGGGGAAATGAGAGTGAAGGGTAGAAAGTGTACAAGGCAGATGAAATAAGTGCATGTGCGTTGATTTGTGATCGGTGTAACGATACAACTGTCAGCCGCTTCTCCCGAAAGCGCAGAATCATCCCCTCTCTGCCTCCCCCCCCCCCCGCTCATACACCGCACCCGTCCACGCGCGCGTGCGGAGGCAACGGCGCACTCGCAGCGCGAGCGAAGGTCGCCGCGGCTATTCCCGTCGTGTTGACGGAACAGCCGCGTGTGCGAATTGCCACGCCACGCCGTGTCTCGCAGCGTGCCGTTCTGTGCCGTGCCGCGTCGCGCAGCGCCACTCACGCCTGAGTGACGTCACACTCTATCGCTCCCTCCCCTCACGGTGCGGCCAGGGAAGGTTGGGCGCCCGCACTCGCGTCGACTCGCGCGCCAGGCAGGCAGTAATCGGCGCACCGCACGCGGGCGCGTACGAGGGCGCCATGAGCGTGTCGTTCTACAGCAGCTCTGAGCCGACAGGCGCGTGCCGCCTGCCGCTCAAGAATCTTCCGCGTAACACGCGTCGCTGTAGCAAGTGTTTGCCGCCACCGGCCAGTGAGTGTCGCTGCCTCCTTCCTTTCCCACTTCGGTCGCCTTCCCTCTCCCCATGCGCGCCCTTCCCTCCCTTCGCTCCCCTCCCTACCCTGTGCCGCCGCCGCCACCGCCACCGCCGTCGCCGGCCGCTGCTGCCCGCGGTGCCGTGACCCTCCGAGCGGGGCCGCGGCGCTGCCAGTGGAGATGGACCCAGCGAGCGAAGAGGCGGCAGTGGCGGCGCCGGCGGCGGCGTCTGCCCTGCGCACCGTTCTCCTTTGGCTCGCTCGCTCAGATGCCACGGCGGGGGCGGGCCCCAGCGCGACGCTCCCGGCCCTTGCCGTGACGCCCGCGCCCTCCGCGGTCACTGGTGTTTCAGGCAGCGAGAGTCCTCCGTTCCCCGGCACCCCGCAGTTCTCTGTGCCCAAAATGGTTCTGGGCGAAGCGGGAGCCCGAGGCTCCCACGAAGTCACCAACGAGATATCAGCGCCCTACGAAGTACCACAGTTTCCTATTGAGCAGATAGAAAAGAAGCTCGCTATTCAGCGCCAGATCTCCAGCCGGTAAGTGCTCAGCGCAGTGTTGTCGCGCCCCTTCCCTCCCCCCTCCTCCTCCTTAATCTCCATTGCGCAGCCCGAGCCTCTGTAACTGCTCACCTCTCGAGGCTTTCGTGCTCCTGGTTATTTTCCGTGCAACGCATGAAAGGCATTCGTATAACAGGGAATTACTGTGTTGAAGTGCTAACTGCACCGTACAAACTAGGATTGCCGTCTTTTTGGTACAACACTAAGTCTGTAAAGAAAGAAATGTGGAAAACAGTGGAACCCGCGAAAAATGAATAACACAGTACTCGCATTGAAAGAAACGATGAACAGGCAAGGGGTAACACAATCGTTTGGGGTCATTTATTACTTGTTTTTCAGTTGGGATGCCCAAACATGCAGGCCGAATAGAAGCCACATCTCTGAAAGAAAGAAAAGAAAAAAAAAAAAAAAAGAGAAATAAGTTGGTATATCTCATAATTGTTAGAACAACTACAATAGTTACGTGATTATTCACGTCAGATTCAATCATTTATTCCTTTTTATACTGTATACTGTAAATAATTTAACTTTTATTGTGTACCCTTCTTTAAATGTCAAGTTAGCTTGAAATATGTTTGCCGTTTTCCACTCATCAGTGTCTGAAAACTCTTGAAGTAGTCTTTATGAAGCTTCCCATGCATAGAAAATAATCACCGTGAAAACATAATGCATACGACATAATGTATAAACCGCACAATGAACGAACTAATCTTTTTTTTTATTTTTTTTTTATTTTTTTTTCTTTCGATTTTGCACTTTTTAACGTGAACGTTTCGCGAATGTCTCTTCAATACAGTAAAACGTACGAAGTTTATAAGCGGGTGCAAAAGTATATGCATGAAAAACTAATTCTGATTGTATCAAATTGCATTTAATCATTGTGAAAAATTAAAAAAAAAAATGATTGTGGCATATTGTCTTGTGTTATTGTGAAATTTGGCTGAACGCGGCAGTTCTCAATTTAAAGTATTTATTTATTTAATTTATGCTCATCAAAATTTTCTTTTGAGCTTTTAACTATGAAATAATTTTTTGGACAATTAAAAAGATTTGAACCAACAAAGAAATAAGCATAAAAAATGTATTATTGAAATAGAATAGCCTCGATCAGAAAATAACTGTGAAAGAAAACTAAGTTTAAAGATTTCTAATTAATGGATTTTCAATGAAGTATAACTATAGGTATAACACACTTAATAATTCTGTGCTAAGATGGCCAAATGATATCGCTTTTTCATCACATGAAACCGAAAATAAAGTAACTCACTATTGTTTGTTAGTGTTAGAAGTAGGCAAAAGGTGCATTTTTCTTGTAGTTTATGAAAAAAAACAAAAAAACGGTGACACATTTGCAATAAGACAAACGCTACAGAGTCATTTTTCAAGACATTTTGATGCTTAAAATTGCTGTCAAGGAAAATGTTTAAAAAGTGACTTAACATTTTGCCGTCTTGCCACAGAATTTATCCTTCGAAATAAAACTCCAAAACCCAAGTGATGCTGTTATTTAAGAATACATTAAGACGGCTACTTATTTTATCTTCTGCCTCTTCTATAGAAAAATCGTGGTTGTACCACTGAAAGTAATATATCCCTACCAAAGAAAAAGGGTCCAGACGCGAAATTGTATGGCAGGTTTTACGTCTTAACATGAATGTTTGTGTGAGGATCTGTCCCCGGAAGCAATTTGTGAATAGGGCATTGTCTAGAGAGGTATTAAAGCCAAAGCACAGCGTTGCCGGATAGCGTGTATCAGCCGGGGGAGGGGGGGGGCGACCTGGCTGGGCGCCCGCCCCCGCGGCAGCATGCGCCGGCGGCATGGCCGCGGAGCCGGAGATTTCCATAATGTAAAACGCTACACCACGCAGCCGAGGAATGGCGGGAGCGCCGCCCGCGTCCACAGTAGCGCTTTGGAGGCGGAAGTGAATGACAATTCCTAATGAAACGTCCTTGCTGGAAAGAGGGCTGGCTAAAACTGACTTAATTGTACCGTAAATTGTGTATGATAAATGATAGATCTTTGGTGCCGCTAATTTTTCTCCGTAATGATAGTTGAAAGGTTATTTTTATTACCTTACAAAATCTCTTTTTCCGTTCACGCATCATTCCATTTACTTACACCACATTCATTCACCACAATCTCTCACTGCATTCAACTTCAATGTGCATTACACACAGGGGCGGATCTAGCCGATCATTTGGGGGGGGGATATCAGATTTTTGTTAAATAATAAACATTTGGTATATTGTTTTCGTAGCGTACATTTGGTACTGTGCAATATTATTTAAATAATTACATAAATGTGACAATTGATTTAAATAATTATTTATTTTAAATAAAGGAAGGTAGCAAACAAAAACTGTCTTTTGGGGACGGGGGAACGCCCTAGATCCTTTACTGATTGCACAGCGCTGCCTTCTAGTTCTCCACTTGCTCTGCGCAAGTTCTTTTATTTTTGGCGATAATAGGATTATTTCTGGTGTGTATTTATGCAATGTGGGGGCAACATTGGACGGATAGAGCTAACCTTAAGCTTATCGCGTCTTCCAAAGCATTAAAAAGCAAAAGCATTAGCAGATTTTCTTTTTTTATTGTCGCAGATTACTGAAGTTTTCGAATAAGACGAAGAAATGCCATTTTTAAGTAAGTTTGGTCTTCATCTGTGTTTTGAAAATGTGCATTTTTGTCACTTATTTTAGGATTACGAATTAACATAAAACATAAAGCGATTTCTGTTGTTTATTTTCAATAACCAATAAAACACTTTATCTATGAAGATTGATCAATTAGTATTAGTAATGAAACCGGAGAATTTAAATGTTTGTCGGGAAAATGTAATAGTTACGGACTTTTCACAAATACCATGTACTGGTTAGTCGGTCCTCTGTTGCGTGTTGTGGTGCAACTCTCGCTCTGTTCCTATTCTATGGAAAAGCGGCAGAGTTGCTTTGAAGCCCAGCATACTCGCTAAATTTGCCACGTGCGGCGTTAGTCATTATTCACGTTAACCACGAATAAAGATGGACCATAAATGATGGGCTGGTTTCATTGGCTGCGTTCGTCGCGAGCCTCCGCGTCGCCAGGGGGGATCGCGTCATGGCCCAATGGCAGATCAGTCCATGTGCGGGACGGGACGTGCGGAGGGAGTGTACGCAGAACGGAGCGTGGCGTTCGTGCCGCGAGCCTAATGAGTACTCGCCGCACAGGCTCCCGTTTTAATGCGTGCCGCAGGGCACCGCTGTCGCCTGCTGGCTGGCACGCAGCTGTCCGTGTCCTCGCGCCCACTTACGGCTTCTGCGTTGGAGGCGATTTGCGCGAGGGGATTGTTTGCAGCTTGGGGAATCAGTATTAGTCGCGTCTTATGGGCTTTGCGGGAGATAGTCCAATCTCTTTACGCTCTGAAGTCTTGGGTCAGCTGAGAGAATATTTGGAGATACGTAGTATCCACGGACAATAGGACTAAGTCATTTCGATTGTTATATCATTTTTAGAACTCATGACACCTTTAAAGAGTAATTTGTGGGTTTTTAAAATTATAAAACCTTTTGTTTCGACCTTCTTGAAATTTTGCATCCTTGACTGTCCAAGTAAGACAGTTTTTCATGATAAATCGGAAATTACGATCTCTTAGAAACATTCTAAAGCAAAATGTTAGTGGGTCCTTCCTTTTTGTTTTCCGTGAGTACATAGAAAGTAAAGATATGTACAAAGTGTGTTGTGACGTATAGAAAATCCATAAAATTTTGAAATAAAAAAATTGATTCCAATAACTCCATTACTATAAACTAACAAAATGTGGCGTTGCCGACGTAAGCTGTTTTAAAAATGGTTTCGTGTGTTAAAAATTTCTTTCATACTTCATTTCTTTATGCCCAGCTTTGTTTAAATATGTTCTTTCAGTATCTGGCAATGGACTTGCCAATGAATCGTAGTAGTTGATAATGTTACACTCCGTACATAAGTTCCCAACACTCAATGTCCTTGTGTGTTACCTCCATACGGGATATGAACTGGTCTTAATGCAGTTTTAAAATTATAATCGCTGTAAATAATACTTGCGTTTTGATGCTAATAGTTAAATTTTAGTACAGATACATTTTTAAACTTTTTGGGTAATATGCACATAGAACAAATGATAAATGCAAAAATACTGATCGTTCCAAATTAATTCCGAAAATTCTATCGCAACATCATTTAAAACAAATTTTTGAAGAGGTTAAAACTTCACAAACTCAGTCTCATTTGTGTTCACTTCTACTTCTGCAATTGCTCTATTAATAGTTTTGTATGCGAATCTAGCGTCGAGTGCGAATCTAACATTGAGGTTACTGTTTTGTACGTTTATATTTATAAGGTGTTAGTAAATTTGAATAGTAATAAGTTGTGGGATACGTTCATTTGAAAACTGTATTTGCACACTTATGTAGAAAGTGAAAGTGCGAAGTCGAACATAACGTTCATTTATTCTCTAGCATTACTCACAGTTTGATTTCACTTTATTTACTTGAAATTCTTAAAGTTCAATAAGTTCCGAGGCAGTACTGTTCGTAGGTATTGCAAATTTATTTTTTCAAATTCCATTATAATTGACTAAATTGAAATCAAACTGCAGCGCGATTTACTTGGTAATTCCATTGTTCACTTAAAGATGTCAACCTCAATGTTGCCAACGTTGTGAAAGAAAATAATGGCGTATTAAGCAAAAAATACCTTTGAGTTTTGGTATTCAATGAACACCACCTACATAGATCGATTTAGGAGGCTTAGTTGGTTTATTCTTGACATCACTAAGATAGCCGCGCCAAAAAAAAGAACATTTCTTTAAATCTTCTAGCGTGATGCGAGAACAAATTATCAGAGACCGAAAACGCATCGAATGACAGACACCTGGATTGGTGAAAGGGAAGTGGTCTAGACGCCAGTGACGGAATGGCAAAAACACACAGGTGCACAGCTGCTCGTCGGCAGACTCAGAGTT